TGTGACTTTGGCCTTGGTTTCTATTCACAGAAGCTACCCGGACGTATCCAGCTGAAACATGGAGACCTTAAGGCAGCAGCTGTAATTTCCTAATTAAGCGAGGATCACGAAAATGGCACCCTTCTTATCTTGGAGGTGGAAGCCAGCTGGTGAAGTTCACGGTTAAGGCCAGCTCTGAACTAAGGTTTTTCCAGTTCAGGCCCCCAAACCGGCTGAGATATTCTGAGATCTTCAGCCCCCCCTCCATGCAAAAAAGATAGCTTTCCTAAGATTTAATCACACTTTCCACTCTGAGCTTTACACAGGCGAGTGCATGCGAACGAGTCGGTCATCGCAGCTAGAACTCTTCAGCCAAATTGGACATATTTATTTATTTCTCAGCATTTTGCAAGAAATTGTCAGTTCCTTACGGGTTAGGTAGCTGAATGAAAGAACAGGTCTTTCAAATTTTACGGTGTAAAAAGTGTAAAAAGAAGCCCCAACTGCCCCAAAACAGCAGCATAAAACAGCAACCGGGCAGCCCTTTTTAGTTACCTGAAAGCTGTTTTTAAAACAAAACATGCAGAGGTTGATTAAAATGCAATATTTAAAATGGCGCCCAGTACGCTGTCCTCAAATGCAAGGTCTTCTTTAGAAGATCCTGGAAAAAAAGGTCATGAAATAGATCTTCATTTTTTTAAAAAAAAAAGTTAGCGCAGAGGCTATATGCATAGCAAAAATTAGAACACAGGAGCACTTTAAAGACTACCAAGCGGGTTGGTTTCAATGGGACCTTTTGTGGATTCCAATCCACTTCGTCAGCCACATCCATCCAGAAAAGTTCCCGCTGAAAGGAATCTGTGAGTCTTTCAAAGGGCACAATACTCTTCATTTTATATTCATTCTACTGCACATGCTGACACTGGCTAACACAGAACGGCTGAAAACCTGGTGCTTGGCATAGCAGTCGCAACCGGGGAAGGTCTACTCCATCCGTGGAACGGAACGAAGAAAGCAGTTGGCTGATCAAATCCCCACGGATTCCACGGGCCTAACTCTAGTTACAACTCCCTCCACTAAGCCACAGGATTTTATCCAATATTGAACTGAAAACCCTGTAGCTACGTACCAAAAAGCCATCCCTCTACTTCCAGTTAGAAAAATCAAGCTTACATGTTCTGGATCAATTCTGCTTTTTATCCCACAGCCTTTTGAGACGGGACTCTGAGTCCACCGGATTAGATGCACTCTGACTCTTTTCATTTTAAGCCAAATGTTGACGAATTACCTATTTTACGCCGGGTCGGGTCAATCTTTTATCTGTTTCACAGAGAACGTAAACATGGCATCTTGATCGCAGGCCGTGTTTTTATATTACCGGTTTTATTATTGTCATTTGACTTCTTGAGGTCTTCCGATGTGAGTGGTTTATAAATATGCAGACGTACATAAATAAATGAAATTCGTTTTCATCTGTTCTCCTACACACTAGGATTGTGGAAAACAATGACTTCAACACCCATCGAGACCTTAAAATAGATCATGTTTCATCTGTTCTCCTACACACTAGGATTTTTCCCCCCAAGTTCCGCACGAAAGATCCTGCTCACCTTCAGAAAATTATCTTCAGTAAAATGTGTAATGCCCCCCCACAACGCCAATTGGCAGAGTTAAAGCTCTCTGCCAAATGAATGGGTGAGGGGCACTCCACGGAGAGCGAGGAAGAGGACGAGAAAGGCCACTAAGAACATCGTGGTCATTGCAAAAAGGCCCACTGACCTCATGCCTTCGGTTGTGGAAAACGATGACTTTAACACCCATCGAGACCTTAAAATAGATCATCCATTGAGTACCACCTGACGAAATTGGGTGTCGTGTCACTTCTCCTGGGAGCATGTGTTGAGGAAGGAAAAGAAAGATTTCGTGGCGAAAGGACTGGACAATCATCTGCAATTCTACCTGTGTGGCATCCTTAAAACAGACCATTTTCAACTGGCTCCTAAACTCGTGTTTGCATCCGTGACACAGTTTTCCAGACAATTTAAGAGAATGTGCTTCCTAACGGTTCAACGTGCTTCAAATCCGTCGTCCCGTGCTGAATGGGGCAGGGGCAAACCTCGAAACACAGAACGGATCTGCTCCTTTTTCGGGGCATTCCAGTCCTGACTAGACCACATCCAATTGCAAGCAATTGGAACAACAGCATGATAATCATCCCCACGTCTTTCGTGCCGGCTGCATCCTCAGACCTTGTCTCAACACAAGACATGTCTACACGGCAGGTAGACCCAAATACTACTTTCAGACTTATCTAACAGGGCTCCCCAACCTAGGAACACAGGGTGGGGGGGGGAGATGTAGGTCTTTGGAGCTTTTTAATTTTTAAAAGCTTTTGTACTTCCTCCAGATGTTGACTCTTAAAGATCTCTCAGGAAGAGGAGCCAGGAAGAGACGATGCAGGATGCAGCCGTTAGACCAGTTTCAAACTGATTTAAGCTTGCAATGCAGATGTGCTCCTTACAAGCCCACGGGAAAGTAGGCGAGCCTTTTTTATGACCACGTTATAGAAGGTCGAGGTTCCAGATGTTGCCCGGCCTCTTGTCGGTCTGGCTCAATCTAATGCCGCGCTCCTTGCTCTGAACTCAGAGCGCAGGTGAAATCTGAACGGTGGGCTTCTCAGTTCGCAGCCGGCATGCCGCTGTTGAAGTGAGCGGGTGGGTGTCAATGACCTTCTGTGCTTGGCCACACAAATTTTTTTTTTGGGGGGGGGGTCCCCAGAGGCCTCTTTGATTAAGCCCAGGAAGCCAGCCAGGGTCCCCAGTGGCACGCACAACGCACCATGCTGGAAGGCCACGTTTCCATGGCGACTCATACAATGGTCATATTAGTCTCCAATTTAAGAAGGGGAGGCTTTCGTGTCGCCGATGTGTCCCTAATATCACAGTCCGT